GTGTCCCAAAGAGTTAAGTGACATCATTTAAAACATCAAAATGATATACGTATATCGTTTTATAACAAACATTACCGATGATGATACGAAATAAAGAATAAAATATAATTCTGATTAGTTTTCATTATATTTTGAAATTACATTTGCATTTGTAATGTATCACAATGAAACAAAAAAAAAAACAAAAACATGATTGATTCCTAAGATTCTAATTTATAAGTAAAAAAAATTATCGAGAAAGAAGAAGAATAATAATAATATTCTTGTATATTGTAATGAATTTGCACGAATACGATATGGTTTGAGTAACGCACAAATAATACACAGTGTGATAACCGTTATTATTTAAATGACAACAACAACAACAAACTAATGACAATATGTCAATATGACATATTTGATTGACATAAGCACAATCATCGGAATTATTATTATTATTATTATTATTATTATTATCAACGTTATCTTCTCAGAGTCTATTTACTCGAGTGGAATGTAATATATTAATTATATCTTATATAGTTGCATTATATATTATCGTAATACAATCCTAAAAAAAACTGCCATCGTTTTTTTTTTTTTTTTTTTTAACAAATTTCTTAGATAAAAGTTTAAGTAACTAATAATGTAATTAATAAATTTAACCCTTGTACTTAAACAAAAAAAAAAAATACGTAGTAACAGAGTTGATATAAAAAGAAACTTAAATTATATTTCATTTTTTTGTCTTTTTTTTTTTTAGAGCTTATTTTCAACATAAAATTGTTTATATTATATATATATAATACAAATGTATACAAATGATTTTATTTTACATTAGAATATTGATATCCATATATATATATATATAACAAGTAAATACTATATACTTACATTTAATTTGTCATATTTTGCAAATAATTACTTGTTAAATATTTTTAAAATTGTGACCAAATTTTTTCAATAATTCTTTATTTAAAATAGAAAACGAAAAAAAAAAAAAAAGAAGAAGAAGAAGAAGAAGAATTCAAAATGTTTGCATAATAGATCAAATTAATGGAGGTTTGTCCAATGGCACACATTATCGTATAATCAACCACATCCACCCTTTCCACAACAACTACGCTTGGGTGGCCTATAGCCTCGAGAACTGTCTCCCATTAATGGATTATACTCTGTAAAGATGTATATAAGGAATTTGCACATAGGCCTAGTAAATATATGAAATAACGAAATACCTGATTTGAATGATTTTGATTTGGGTCCCTTTGATGTTGATGCTTCATCTTTACTTCCATGACCCAAAATATTACCATCTTGACAATTACCAGCTTCTTTTTCCTTTTTCTTCAACTAATAAAACAATAAACAAATAAAATCAATCATTTTCTTTATAAATATTCCTTCGGTACTTAAGTATTAACGCCATCGCAGCATAAAATTTCGCTAATACGCCAATAAAGAGCAATCTTGTTGTTCGCATACAACAACCTTGTTGTTTGCACACAGCAACCATCAGGGTTGCGTCAGGGTTTCGTCAGGGTTATGGCGACAGCATCAGGTGAAAAAAAATAGAGACTGTTTTGAATTTTCAAAGTGTTTCGATTTTAAATCAAGTTTTTTATCCTATGATTTGTCGCAACAATTTATGGTGTAGATTGGCGCATTAGCAGAATTTTTATTGCAATGACGTTAATACATAAGTACCAATATCCCTTCTATGTTGAAAATTTAATACTCGTACATACTTCTTCCATTTGTTTCTTTACTATTAAAGTTTGTTTCGTATAATCTTCCTGCATTTTTTGTCTAGCAGCTTCAATCTTTAACGCTGTCTGCAGTGCAATGTCAGGATCTACAAAAAAAAATCAGTGTAATTAATTAATATATTACATATCTTTTTTTCATTCGTATAAATTATTCATATCGAGTCTATTTATTTATATTTGTATCTCTATCAACATTCATTTTAATTGTCAAATACTTGACTAATAAATCTTTGTACAATAAATACCTTAATTTGTTATATTAAAAGCAGATAATTTAAGAAATGTTTTGGTTTGTTTTGAAACAAATATTCAAACATTTATAACATACAATGCATTAAATCTTTGATATTGAACAACATTATATGAAATGCATTAAGTGTTCAATATTGAAACACATTGTATGAAATGCTTGTTTTCAAATCAAATATGCAAGAAAAGATTTAAGAAAAGTTTTCGTTTGTTTTGAAGCAAAATATTCAAACATTTATAACATACAATGTATTAAATCTTTGATATTGAACTGCATTATATGAAATGCATTATGTGAATGCATTAATTGTGTTCAATATTGAAACACATTGTATGAAATGCTTGTTTTTAAATGAAATATGTAAAAAAAGGTTTCAATTAGAATCAAGAACTTATTTGTCACATTGATTACCAGGTTCACATCTGTGATACAATTCCTTGAATGAACACCAACCAGTGTACCACAAATATGTACCACTCTTAAATATGAAAAGTTAATTAATTAATTACTTGATTACAATATAAAACAAATCCTAAAATTGAAATGTTAATTGATTTAGCTTATATATTACATTTGTCAAAATATAACCTTACTTTTGTGATATTTGGCTGCATATTCTTCCTCGTCTTTCTTAATTTTCCATTTGATATATTTATCTTTGATATATGGATAAGTATACCATAAAACAATGGATGAAGCAACAATATACCATCCAACAGAAGCCACGTACACCCACGCTGAAAGATAAATGTAATTTAATTAAAATAAAGAAGATTATTCACACACTTTTCAAACATTTACTAATAACAAATATAATATTGTTTAACATGAGCATGTATAATATTCAAATTAATGGAAATGACAAATGATAAATATATATTCAAAATGATGATGATGATGATGATTATTATGATTTTATTAAAATTTAATTAAAATATATAAATATACGTATCCATAATGGAAAGACCGCGAATTAAAGGACTGCGCTCAGAGATGGGAACAATGACAGGATTTGGTATTTGTGGCAATGAACTTCCGAATTCATAATGTTAATTAATAATAATAATAATAATACGTACCCATTGTAAAATAATAATCTAATTGTAACATTCTTCCTTTTTTTTAATAATAATTTGAATTATTTTCGTACATCAAACTTTCACAACAAAACACATTTGTATGACACGTAAGTATATAAACTGTCTTTTTAACAACACCCAAAAGATTAACTATTCCGATAATCAATTGCAAATTTATATACGTTGTATTTATTACAAAATTAATTTAGAATTTAACCTAAACACAATATATAATTGATTGAAATTAGAATATAATTGTTATTTAATGATACATTTTTTAAAACTTGATTATTATTGCGTACAATTATAAAGTAATTAATAAATATTACAATACTGAACACATCTAGTACATTTCTTTATGATACAGATGGCGCATCAATCGAACGCACAGGAATGGATCTATAAAATTACTAAAGGTATTATACTTTATATTCTCATTTGTCCAATATATTTATTGAAATTATATAATAGAATATAATTTTAAATTATATTATAAATAAAATATAATATTTATAATTAGAAATAAAAAATTGAATTAAATTTTGACAAATTTGTAACCACGTGTTGGCATATAGTGTCCCCTAGGGAAGTTACCAGAAATATGCCCTTTGTTAATACACACTTACCATTAGTACATTAAAATAAGTGAAGAATTGCATTGAGAATTTCTAAATGAAATATTTTGATTTGTTAACACTACCTTTCATATTTTGTTAAATAAGTCGGTTAAAAGAATGATATGTTAATACGGAAGATAAACTTTGAAGATATATATACTATTATTTATAATATATACGCGCAAGCGCGCTATTCAGAATAAAGAGACGTATATGAATATATACGTTGAAATATTTCTGCCATAACCTAATTTTGCATATACGCACTAGGTCATGTATACAAACAAAATGTTTAATGTTAGTGTTTACTTTAAAATGTTAACATAAAATTCATTGAAAAGTATATTACGTATTTACGATTGATAAATAACCTATTGAAAAATATGTGCAACTAAAATACGAGAGCTGAGTGATATCTGTGCGAAAGAAAATTTCTAGCATATTGTATAATTGTTTGAATCTATATTATAAAAGGTAAGGAAATATTTTCTTTATTTAATATTATTATAACCTAAAATAATCATACTTTTAGTTAATAGATTTGTATAACATGCATGTATACAATTATTTTATTGATATGGTGAATAATGGATACCCTAACCAAAAAATGATTAATTATTATAAGAACAATTTTACACATATTATGATATTAATATTTATTCTTTATGTATTATAGATAATTAATATTTATAATGGAAATGCAACATATGAGAAATTGAGTAGTAATATTAATAATAATCATCACATCATAAGATTCAAGATATACATGCAATATTTTCTACCAATGGATACCTCTTACGAATATGATATTATACGTCATCCAAGATGTATAATTCACTTGGATGTCGATTGTTTTTATGCACAAGTTGAAATGTTACGACATCCAGAATATGATGGCAAACCATTCGGTGTACAACAAAAAAACATGGTTGTAACAAGTAATTATATTGCACGTAGTTATGGTATCAGAAAATGTATGCCAGTGCAAGACGCCTTACGTTTATGTCCAGAATTGGCTTTGGTTAATGGTGAAGATTTAACAGCATATCGTCAGGTTTCAGCTAAAATAATGGAAATATTACATGAATTTACTCCATTAGTTGAGAGGTTAGGTTTGGACGATAATTTTCTGGATGTAACATCGATCGTAGAAAAATATATTTCATCCAACGATGAGTCTAATGAAAATTTTGGCGATACGATTGAAGAAGATGATTCATCAAATATAATTGGCAATGTTTTTGAATTAACTGATGAAGAATGCCCATGTGGCTGCCATTTACGATTAACGATAGCAACCAAAATTGCATCTAAAATAAGAGATCGTGTTTGGAAGGAATTAAAAATAACAACAAGCGCTGGAATAGCGCATAACAAATTATTAGCAAAATTGGCAGGATCTTTGTATAAACCTAATCAACAAACATTAATATTTCCCTGTAGTGCGTCAAAGTTATTATCCACTTTAGATTCAGTATCTAAAATACCTGGGGTGGGATTGAAAACTAAAGAATTGTTAATATCAAAAAATATCAGAACAGTTGATGATTTGCGCAAAATACCATTAGACGAATTAGAATTAAAGATTGGCAAAGATCTGGCTAGAAAATTGAAAGATAATGCAGAAGGTATTGATGAAACTGCTGTAAAACCATCTGCAAAAAAACAATCTATAGGTATAGAAGATGGCTTTAAAAGTGTATCATTAGTGGGTGAAGTGGAACAACGACTCAGTGCATTATTACGAAGATTAACAGAATTAGCTACTGAAGATGGTAGAATTCCAATTGCAATGAGAATAACAGTAAGAAAGCACGATTTCAATAAACCGAAAAGAGAGACCAGACAGTGTGCTTTACCAAAACATTTGTTACCTTCATCTAAATCTGGTGTTTATGACCATGCTAAAATGTTAACCCTAGCTATGAAACTGTTTCATCGTGCAGTTGATATTTCTAAACCATTTCACTTGACTCTTCTAGGAGTTGCTTTTACTAAATTCGAAGAAAGATCTTATGGTCGTAGTAGTATTACATCCTTCTTAAGAAAACAAGTAGCCGTTCAATCTATTTTGGATATTAGTTCAGAGGAAGGTATTTGCGATATTAGTTTGGGGTCACCAATGAGTATAAATCAGGATAGCAATGATGGCTCTGAGCATTCCGTATCTGCAACAAGTTTGTCAAATTCATCATTATCCGGCATTAATGGATCTCCAATATCAAAATTGACTATTAGTAGCAATCAATGTACAGAAGACGATCTTTTGAGTGAGGTAGAACCACAATTAAAAAAAACAAAATTAGAAGTATGGTTAAATGGTCGTAGAGAAACTCCGAGCAATGAAATGGCAGGTTTAAGGCTTGAATCTACGCCAATGCAAATATCACCAAAAACGGATACCACGAATCGTAAGACCTTACCTGCTGAATTACAAAGAGAAGTCAATCGATCATGGCCCACAACTAGCAAACCAAAACCAAACAATATACTTAAATTTTTTATAGCTAATAAGTGACCGAATTATGTGGCCTATTATATATTAAGGCCATCTTTTACATATATTTTTATGATTTTTATATTAGACGGCAGCATCTTGAGACCAATTGAAAAAAACACATTGGTCTCATTTAAAATAAACTGTGTTAAATTATAAACCTAAATACTCTAGAATTGAATGTTCTAAATCAATATATTGCATAAACATAACACTAATGTAATGTGTTGCCTTATTTGTACAAATTAAGACTGTTGCATACACTATTGTAAAAAAAAAGAAAGAAAAAAAATCAATTCAATCACACATACAAACACACACACACACCAACACACACATCTTTAAAAATAACATAAATAATATGATAAAGTAATTCGCGTTTCAAATTTTTTGATGAATCTAAGCATTTATTAATTAACATATTAAAATAAGTACAATAAATAATTATATATTTAACGTTACTTTTGGATATAAAAAAACAAAAAAAAAACCAAAAAAAAAACAAAACATTATTAATAATGGTATATGTATTCTTTCAGAGAACAGTTTCATATAAATGAAGAGAAAAAAAAAACATAATAATTAAAAGAAGAAAAAAATATATATATATATTAATCGTTAAGAAGGTGCTGACATTTCACTTTGTACTTTATTATATGTAATGGATAAATAATTATATGTTTTAAAATTATAAGGAAAAATCAAATTTATATTTTTAGTACTGTTAATGCTATATTGTAATATATTACAAATATTACAAAAAAAAAAAAATGAAAAAACCATTATTATGTGCACATGTTGTTGTTCTCCGTACCATCATTCAAAATATTTAATAATAATTAACATTCGTTTTTAAATATTTAAATATATAAGTATCTCTAACACATTACTAATTTTATTGAAATAAATTTATCGTTACAATATATATATATATATACTTTCAAAAATTTTCAAACAATTATTTGATGTAATTGGATACATTTTTAATTGTTATATGAATTATAAACCAAAAAATATATATATATATATATATATAAATAAAAGAAAAGACAATTGGCTTTGTGACGTCACATAAATATGTAAAATCAAAATAGTACAACCATTGTGCCACTAGTTAGCGTTTTTCATCAATTCATTTATGAAAAAAAGAAAGATTGATTGATACTGATTATTTAAACACTGATTTAATTTTATCAATGAAAGTATGATAAATATACTATAATAATTATGATAATTTCATTTATGTTCATAAAAATAACAAAAAAAAAATAATAATAAAACTATTTCTATGTACATTTTCGATCAATTTATATTAACCTTTCATGTTAAGTTACTAACTTCACTTTCTATCTCTATGCAACACGATGTAAAGTTGTAAACGATGATTATAATACAATGTGGGCATTTTTAAAGGTTTATTTTGAAGATAATACATCAATTGTTATTTAAAAGAATTTTGAATTTTCTTTGATTAAAGTGGTAAGTCTTTACAGTATCATAAATCTTGATATTAAAATGAATTGTCAACAATATTATGATTATGAAATATTTTTTATCTTATAAACATTTGTTTTAACATGTTTTTATTTATTTATTTATTTATTTTTTTTTTTTACAGAACAGAACAGACATTTTACATTAAATTTATTCATCATATTATCTTATATTGATTAAAATCAAAGAAGAAAAAAATATTCTTTTGTTTGGTTATTTGTTAAAAATTAAACTAGTTTGAACTGAAGTTATATCAATGTCAGAAGATTTGAATGAAAGCAACAAATTATGTAGTTCATTGCAAGATAATGTAATGACTACATTACAAGAAGATATGTTACCATGTGTTTCACAAGAAATTGAGGTTGGAACATCTAAAGATATCAAAAATAAAGTACAAAATGAAAATAATAGTATAAGACCATTACAACCATCGGACAGTTATAATGGAGCAATAAGGGACAATTATATTTGGTCTCAGACAATCACTGATTTAGATGTACTTATAAAACTTCCAAAGTTGACCTTGAAACCTAAAGATCTTCGAGTTACTATAGAAACTCAAAGAATAAAAATTGAAGCACGACAGGAACATGAAGAAACATGCAACGAAGTTATCAAGAATCTTGATTGGACTACCATCTTTGAGGGTGAACTAATATTTAAAACAAAGAAAGATGAATCCGTATGGAGTTTAGTATCTGGATATATTAGTGTGCGTTGAAACAAATTCAAACCCACTGGATACATACTATATGTGTGGAATATGGATAGGAAGTATCTAAACATCTAAAGTAGCTGAGCATTGTATGCTTATCTTCTGTTTATAGATACATCTTGAGAAAGTATCCGAACGATGGTGGGATGCCCTTATTACTGAAGAACCTAAGATAGAGCTGAATAAAATAGATTGTTCAAGAAATTTAGATGAAATGGGTTTGACCGAACAGATGAAAGTAGAAGAATTAATGTGGAATCATCAACAAAAACTTCTTGGCAAACCTACGTCGGATCAATTGGTAATTTTATTTATTATCAAAAAAAAAAAAACAACAACAACAACAAGATTCTTATATAAAAATCAATGTTAATAATAAATGAATATTTGTTTTTAGAAAATGGAGGAAATTATGAAGAAAGCATGGAACGCAGAAGGATCACCTTTTCAGGGTACACCGTATGATCCATCCATAATAAAGTATAATTGAAATATTTTTAATACTAATTTAAGCAGAATTTAATTAAATTTACATCATCAGGTTTAATAAATAAATATTTTATAAAATAAAGAAGAATCACGGAATCAAACTTGCCGCGTATGTTAACCTGTGATAAACAACTTTTTCTATTGGTCGTTACTCTACCAATAAGATTAAAGATTCCATTCTATCGAATGGGTCTTATGCCCATGGATTATAGTTTGGTTTATCTTGAAAGTGCTGAGCACCGCTGTTGCAATGAAAAGAGACAGGTAACACATATCTACCTGTTGGAAGCTACGTTCAGCATTTAAGTGGGAGGTGGGGGGGGATTCCATTACTACTCTCTCTCTCTCTCTCTCTCTTTCATTCTTTTGCTCCCTCTTTTTTCTTCTCTCTCTCCTTGGGTCCAAGCTTTCCTCCGAGGTGAGGATCGGGCCGTTAGTCTCGTGTTGTAGGAAACAGCGGTGGTAGTGCGTACCGCGAAGGATCGCGTTCGAACATCAACGAACCAACGTAACTAATTTCAAATCGATCACGATCAACGAACCACCAAAAACGTCGCGTGCGATCTTTTAATCTAAAAGTGGTGTAAATTGTTTATTTTATATCTTCAAAAAAATATTATTTTCTTACCTCAAGCCTTTTTTTTGTGGGTTTTTTTTTTATTTCTCCTTGCACGCGAGAAAGAGAAAAAGAGAGGAAGAGAAAGAAGAACACAGTTGGTTCGTGGACCGGATTGGTGAACTCATTCTATCTCTTTTTCTCTCGTACCAACATCACAGATAGGATTCACGGATGAACCAAAGGCCGTTTTCTTTATCTTTATATTCTTCGTCTTATTCGTCATCACCGCCGTAGCATCCTAACGGTATACGGGGGTGAAGAAGTGAAATCTATTGGAAAATAATATTTAATATTATTGGATAATTATATATACATATATATATATATTCTAAAAAAGGAAGATAAAGAAGACATCAGGATGCCCTGTTCTGCAGTAACGCTGTCCCTCGCAACCATAACCGGTATCATTGCCACTGCTCTCCTAGCTATTGCCTTCTCCACGGATAATTGGCTTTACACCGAGGTCAAGCGTGCCCAAATTCAGGTTCGTAGGAGATCGAATTTGATTTAAACAAATTCATCACACCCCCTTTTTACCAAACCAAACGATACCCTGTCGGCTAAGTTGAAGAATGTCATGGTGCGTGGCGTTCTTTAGTCCCAACGAAGTAAAAGAGTTAGAGAGAGAGAGAGAGAGAGAGATGGATTATTCTTCTGATCTTTGATAGAAGAGAATAAGAATGATCGTTTGTAGGATGCACACACATTTTTATTTTATTTTAATGCTGAATAATGAAGAACAGGTGAATGTGTTAGGTTATAAAGAGAAAGAAAGATAATCATCAATGTTGATGTAGGACGAATGACACAGGTGGAAGAATAGCTTTCCAGGTATACTTTCAAGGAATTTAAAAAGAATGTTATGTGTACAGTCATGAATAAATTGTATTTTGTATTCTATTGAAATGAAAACGTTTCACGAACATCCTGTTAAATGTTTTTTTTTTTTTTCAAAATTTGAAACGGCCATGTTGTTTCTTTTTTTATTATTTTTCACGTGTGTCTCTTGGTTTATTTATTTATTTTTTTTTTGTTTTACCAACTTTCCCCATGATTTAACTTAACATTTATCGAAATATTTCACTAACTAGATTTCTCTCTAATTATGCAAATGAACTTTTCTCGTTGATTCTTCGTTTCCCAAAAAATAAAGAAAAGAAAAAAAAGGTTTTTACATTTCTTCCTTAATTACAGTTATCTAAATAAGTATGTATACGATACAAAAGTTGTAAAAGTAACGTAAATCGTTTGAAAAAAAAAAAAGAAGAAAAAAGAAAAAAAATATTCTACTCTCTCTCCTTTTATCAATTTTATGGGTTATCTTCCGCATTTTACAAAGTAGCGGGAATTCGTGAAATGCCACGTACACGTCTCGACTTACTTTCTATTTTCCAGTGGTGATGTATAGAACGCTTCGTATGCCTAGAGGAAATATAGTGTGTGTGTGTGTGTGTGTGTTTTTTAAATAATTATCTTTTTTTTTATTATTATTTTCTCCTCTTTTCTTAATCCCCCCCCCTCCTTCCTCTACTGTCCAAGAAAACGTTCGATTTTTCTTTACCTTTTTCAACTTTATGCTTCGTTTAACGCTGATTCGTATCGAAACCGCATTATTGTGGACGATTAACTGCGAGTCCTCATAACGAAGAATATTTACCGTGAAGCGGCGAAAACGTGAAAGTTAATTGCTCATGATTATAATTCCTTTTGATCACATTCATCATCATCATCAACATCTTCCTATGAATCTTGAAAAATCTACAACATTTCTATGCTTGATCTTTCGTACAAATTAAATGAGCATCAGATCATCAAATCTGATGAATTCTTAGAATACTTGTAAAATCATGTCTGGTATCTAAAAAAAACGGAAGATACGCCGGAAGATGGATCATCCTCGACATCCGTAGTCGTCCTTGTCGCAGGTGAACGTTCGGGTCGAAGGTCAAGTTCACCCCTCCTCGGTGTTGGCCTATAGCTTAGCGAACGGAAGAATTTCTCACGACAGTTCTCCTGTGCACAGTCTCACAAGTGTATAAATCCTTTAACGCAACAGACTTCAAAACTAGATAAATTATTTTTAATTACAGTACAACCCTAACCTAACCTAACCTAACATTGCAACGTGTTCGTGTTCAAGCGTTTTTTTAATTCCTCTTTTACCCCTATCCTGTCATTTTTACTCACAATGTAATTACTAACTTGTTATCATTGTAGAATATTTATTATTTCAATATAAAAATATGTAATTTGTGTTTTATAACCTAAAAGCTTTCTGTGTTTTTATAATTGGGCCTGTTTTGATGAATTACTTGTACCCAATTTGTAGAAATAGGACCCTTCTGTCATTGAACGATAAATCAACTGTCCATAGATCAACTGTCCCAATATGAAACGTTTTGGATCATTGACAAGTGAAAATAAGTTGACGGATTTATTGACATGTTCATAGGTCCCATTCGGTCAATGGAATCTTCATTCTTCCTGAAAACTATTTTTGATTTTTGTCTTTTTCGGGCCACCTGTCTTTTCCTCTCGTCCTCTTCATTCGTTACCTTCAGAACGATCGACATTCCGAGCCGCACCCATTCTCAAGCGCGTTGACTCAACAAGTTTTGCGTTTAACGTTCGATGCAATGCAACGTCTACCGTGTGTTAGTTCGTAAGAAACTAATCCATTTAAAGAAAATTACCTACGAAACTCTAGATCTTTTCTTTATCGTATCCGTTTCGCGGATCCATTTCACAATGAGAAAGAAATAATACGTTCAATGATCGTTTCAAATCGTTACGTTATTATTATTATTATTATTAGTTTTACATTGTATTTTTTATTTCCACATGGACAAATTCTATTAATACAGGATGTTCTACAAATTGTTGTTTTATCGAGAAAAGAATAATGAGAAATATAATATAATAATAAATATAAATCCTTCATTTATAGGTTAGAACAAACATTTTGATTTGTTTCTAAACATTTTGGTCCTATCGCCCCCTTTCTAGAAAAAAATATTACCCAGCGCCACCTGGAAATTAATTTGTTTGCAAATTTTAATAGCAATTAACCTGTTAACCGTGGGAGACGTATTAATACGTTAAACGTATTTTACATATTTTATATATAAATAAACGAACAAATATATATTTCATAGTCTTCATGTATTTTAAACATAAATAATAATAATTAAATAAATAAATAATAAAAAAAGCTATGTAATTAAAAAGGGAATTCCCCGGTTAACAGGTTATTTAATTAATCACCAGGAGGCGGTGGCGTCAACTTTATGAATCACTGGTTTAAAACCTCCAAAACTATTTGTTTTTTTTTTGTTTATAATATTTTATAATTATACCACATATTATCTTGATATCAACAAATATTTATAAACCCCCACCATTTAAATCTTATCTATAAAAAGATCAAATGTTCTCAGATGATTAAATTTAAAAAAACAAATCGATTAGAGGACCCTTGTTACTTTGTACAAATATCCATCATTTATACGTCATGTTCAAAACATACTATTATTATTATTATTATTATTATTATTAAAACAAATATAATTATTTTATGTGTATGATATTTCGTCGTTTTGTTTTTCCTTTTAAATTCGTGAGAGAATCTTTTTGAGATGTAAGAAAAGTCGACGTCAATTTTCTCGACAATCGGAGGATCGCATTTGCGCTCCGCATCGTACAGTTATGTTACCTGTTCTCCGTCTCATTCTAACGAGTAGGTGATTACGACATATGCGTGTACACTGCACTATTGCTAGTGTGCATACTTGCTAGTAAGGCGAGGTAACAATTCCATGAACACTTTTACGATAGAAAAACAACACACAGAACTCACAAAGCTCTCAACTCATATATTTGAACATTTTTTTTCAAAAGTCCTCCTGTGTTTCTTTCAATTTCCTCCATTTTGTAAATTGTATATTATTTTTAACGAATATCAACTAACTGTCATCAATATTTTTCACCTAAATATTAAATAATTATTAACATTTTGTTTATATTTCATTTACAATGCTAGAATTTGTTTTTTTTTTTTTTTTTAATATTTTTGGCGCGCATTCTCACCAATCCAAGATGGCTGAATGCACCACGTGACACGTATACTCTCCTGACGGGTAATTTCAAACGTAACACCGATCGATTTTTTATTTTAAATAATAACAAAAATGTTGTATTTTACAATCTTAGGGAATAGACTAGGAAACAAACGGCATTGAATCGATTCGCATTTATTGTTTCAAAAAATTCAGATGAAAGTTACTAAGCGTGACGCTTACTTATACATACATATATATGTATATGTATTTCAGAAACCAAATGCGTTTATTTAGAAACGAGTTTTACGGTGAAAGGTATCGTTAAGTTTTAACACGTGGATTTTTTGGTTTAGCTCGACCAATCGATCGTTAAAACGACATAGAATATCTTATTGAGTAAAATCGATAAAGATGATCATAAAAATGCAGGTGGAGTTCCTTGCAACCTTGTCTGAAATATTTTGACATTTACTGTTGTTTTTTATATTAATTTTAATACTAATTGGTTACAAAAAATACATCCACTTATTAATAAAACATACGATTAACAATTAAATACGATTATTAGTAAAAAAACAAAATTGATAAATAAAGAAACCTAACCTATAATACCTGTAAAACTTATAACATGATTTCTTACCTCGTTGTCTGCAATATTTAATTGGATTTATATAAATTTCAATACTAATTGATAAAAAAAAGAAAAATATCTCATTAATAAAACATTTGTTCGAATAAAAATTAAATACGAATATTAGTAAGCAATCAAATTAATAAATAAGGAAACATAACCTTTAAAACATATAAAACCTATAACCTATGAAATGAAATTAACATTTTCATGGTTCACAAAACGTAAAAAAAAGTCAACCGATATTAGGACAAGGACAACTTCATTTTAAAATCGAATATTCATATCCTTTCTTTTATACAGTTAATGTATTGCATGTATTTTATGCATGTATGATCTGTTTAATACATAAAATAGAAACATATGTATTTAAGTATATCAAGTTTGTTTCTAATTTAACTTTAGTAGTGTCTTATTACACATTTTCGTATTTCTATGACCAAATATAAATAAAAACGATTTATTTTATGGCCATTGCTATTTACGGAAATCATAGCTTGCGTTCTCACGAGAAGCCATACGTTCTCTCTCTTCCTTTTTATCTCTCTCTCTCTCTTTCTTTCTCTCGTACTTAGGTGACATTCTCGTAGAATCACGCTTTCCTTTCTATCAAATTGCTGGAGATCGACGACTCGGTGGCTTCTGTGTCGGAATAATGGCGAATACAACCACACAACGTGAAAGCTGAATGAACTTAACGTGGGTCTTCATTGGAATCCTCCGATTCTTTTTTTTATTTTTTTTATTTACCAGTTGAAAGTTCAATTATTTAAAATCAATTCTAAATATTTAAATCTTCAATCTAAATAAAATATGTTCGATAATATTAGGGAATAAGATCGTTTGATTAGAATTATTTACATTGACACCATTTTTATACAAATTTCGAATGAATACTCAAAAAACAAACTTGTAATAATGTTTTACATGTGTTAATATTTATTAATTATTAACTAAAAGAAAAATCATTAGCTAATAGAAGATGAATTAAATGAAAGGAATGTTGCACATGGTATCTGATGTTTCATTCTCAAGGTTAAAAAGATTGTTGCGTCGGATGGTTTCGCATCATGTGTCACGTACGATTATTACCAGTTAGTAATCCAGGAAAAATCGTAGGTTGCTGTATAGAATTTTATTCTATAATCTTTATACAGTCTTTGTTATATTCATTATCATTAAAAAAAATATTGAAACAATCCTGACCTTTTTACTCGTAGATTACCTTGTACTCGATTGACCATAGAAACACAACGATGATTGTAGGCGTAACTTTAATGGATTTAGAAATTTGTTATACAGTGTCACATTAATGATTATCTTTAAAAAAAATTTTTATTATATTCTAATCCATTCTATGATATATTATTTATGATTATTTAATGTGATTCACATTTTGATAATGGTTCTTTTATTTTGTTTATTTACAGCAATATGCAGGCAAGCACGCTGAACAAAGTCATTTGATAGATCAAATGAATGCAAAGTATTATTATTATACAAGAACTCAGGGTCTCTTCAGGATATGTTATCCCAAAGAAAGGCCACCTACGGGTAAGATGAATGAACAATTATATTTATTTATTAAGTCGAGTCATAAGTAACTTCTGTAGAAACTATTTGTCGTATTTACCTATTATAAGTCATCGAAACAAACACATTTTTGATATCACTGTATAAATGATAATTTAGTTTAGTCTTCTGTCAACTTTTTTCATGTAATCAATGTTACATTTAACCCGTTTTTCTTAACCTCTCAAAATGGATAGTAAAAAAATGTGCACATTCAAGCAATTTATACGTCACTGGTCGAGAATGTGTTAAGAGATTCAAAAAAAAAAAATACATTGAAAAGAAATAAAAAGTGTGTCAAAAAATGAACTATTAAATCGACGGTGTTTTTTTCAAATTTTTGTTGAATCTGCAAACAATATTACACAATGAAAAAGAAACGTGTTGTAGTATTACTTGTATCAGCATTATTATACTTGAACTAATAATAAGTATAATTCTTATATTAAAAGAAAAAATAATATATTTTATGAAATAAAATACAAATTTATACACATACATACATATACGTTTTTTATCGTCTATGTGAACACACGAACGTACGAACAACGCAAACAACGAACGCATGGCCGCAATTTTGATACCCGTTATAACACAAATTCTTCGGCGTAAATTACTCGATCAACTATACATTGCATCTTTAACGATAAAATTTTGTAACAGAACTTGTTAGTTTGATGTCGGTAGTGATGGTGATGGTAGTGGGTTCCAATCATCATGGAATATCTTTCTCGTGTTTGAACCGTTGCAATTGGACGCTGCTATAACGTTCCATATGGAAAAGGTTACACCTTTCGGTTGATTCGCTATATAGGCATTTAAACTGCTAGTGAAATGCACTCTATGCTCTCTCTTTCTCTTTGTTCATCTTATATAGCAAGTATGTCAAACATGCAATCTCTGCCAACGCATTATATATTTCAATGATTTATCAAGTATTATTTCAATTCTAAAATAAATAAAAAAATAATTATAAATATGTATATATATTTATTATTTTATAATTTATATTTTATTTATTTGATTAGATTAGGTTTGAAATACAAATTAAATTGTATATTATTATATTATATATTATATATAATATATAATAATATATTGTAGTAATATACTGTACAGTACTGTATTGTATATTACTGTAATATACTGTATAATACTTGTACAACAACATTATTATAATATATTGTGTATAATATAATAAATAAAATAATATTACATTTTAATATATCTAATATTATAATATATAATATTTTATATTATTATATATATTATAATTAATTTAT